CTTTCATGTCTCTTTGATATCTTGTTTTTTTCATACATGCATCGATTAGAGATGGTGGTTTTTAACATACCTAGTGTATTTTCGTCGAGGATCTTCTTAATTTTTTCGTTCAGCTCGGTTGATTCAACATTGATATTACGTAAGTTATTATGGCAATTTCCTATCAATACGCGTAGATAGGCCCAACCAGCTTTTTCGGTGATTTTCCACGCTTTCGGATGATCAATAGGGGGTCTTGACTGCAGGAAAGACGGTAACGACTTCGCATCTTTACATTGGTGTAAATAGGATAGATGTAATTTATATCGAACTTCGGTTAAAGCGAATCGTTCTAATCTTCTTGCCATACCTAGTGCATCAGCACCATTGTTGTTCTTGATAGAAAGGTATTCTACTGATCGCCTCAACAGCATATACCTTTCTATCAAAAACAACAATGGTGCTGATGCACTAGGTATGGCAAGAAGATTAGAACGATTCGCTTTAACCGAAGTTCGATATAAATTACATCTATCCTATTTACACCAATGTAAAGATGCGAAGTCGTTACCGTCTTTCCTGCAGTCAAGACCCCCTATTGATCATCCGAAAGCGTGGAAAATCACCGAAAAAGCTGGTTGGGCCTATCTACGCGTATTGATAGGAAATTGCCATAATAACTTACGCAATATCAATGTTGAATCAACCGAGCTGAACGAAAAAATCAAGAAGATCCTCGACGAAAATACACTAGGTATGTTAAAAACCACCATCTCTAATCGATGCATTTATGAAAAAAACAAGATATCAAAGAGACATGAAAGAAAGTTTACTAAAGTTCAAGGTAAAGATAAAAAACATGAACAAGCGCAGAAACGTTGGGTTATAAATAATTCTGATCGGGCATTAAATTGTCATGAAATCACCCTACTTAGAAAAGGAATGAACTTTGCTATTACTCCCAAGAGAATACCTATAAAAAACATAGTTGCTTCAGTGGAACAAGGAATTAAAAATTTAGATGCCGATAAGAAAAATAGAGTTCGAGAAAATGTTTGCTCTGTTATAAAGAACGCTAGGCACCCAAGCAACTCAAACCTTTCACGTCAAGAAGAGATAGCCCTGAAAGATCTACGCAGTGACAAAAATATCTTAGTTACAAAAGCCGACAAAGGTAATGCCATGGTAGTTATGAATCAAGTAGATTATAAAAACCAAGTAGAAACAATGTTACAGGATGAGATTGTGTACAAACGCATAACAGATAAAAGACGTAATCCAACTTCAAAAACCGACACAGAGTTACAAGAACGTTTATTAAAATTGAAAGACACTGGTTTTTTAACAGATAATGAGTACAAAACACTGAGACCATTTGATTCCTACCCGGCGGCGTTTTACGGTTTGCCAAAGATACACAAGGTTCCTTTAGTCGAGCAAAATGATCATTTTACAATAGAAGCAGACACGGTAGTTCCTCTTAGACCAATAAATAGTTCAATTGGGTCTCCAACGTATGAAATCTCCAAATATTTGGGGCGCATTCTAATAACAATAATAATAACAACTTTATTTATAACAGACAGCCTACATCACTACTCAAGTGCTTTTCAGCAGGGCTCTGTATATTACATTCCGTTATATTATTATGTAAGAAAGTTAAAAGTTCTATTCTATATAGAAAAAGTAGACTATATTAAAAGTTTAAGTTCGTTCTATATTGATTTAAAAAATTTAAAAACAGCACGTTTAAAATTAGATAAAGAAGACGAATTTCTAATATTTTCATCTAAAAGGTTCCAGTCCGCAATGAAATCACAGTTTGATCTAAGTAGTCCTTTGCAAGTACTGGATTTCATTGGCCGTAAATCGTTCTTATGTCTTGTATTGTAACCGTGAACATCTGCATTTCGGATAAATGTGTTATCAATATCATTTATCCCATTTATTGATTTATATACATAGAGGCATCTACGTATACTTCGCCTTTGCTTCAGGGTAGACCAGTGTAACATTCTTAGGGCATCACTAGAAGAGGAAAGCATTGGTCTGTCCTGTACCAACTTTGCTGCCTTGTTGTGCAATACTTGTAAACTATCCATCATAATCTTGTTTTTCTTATCTCCCCATACCAGGCTACCATAATCCAGTAATGACGTGATCATTGTATTGACAAATATTATCCGTGCATGCTTAGGTAGTAGGTGCTTTATTCTGCGCAGGATGCCGAGGCGTTGTGAGACTTTTATCTGTAACTTTTCGATGTGACTCTTCCAAGAAAGATTCTCGTCAATAATAACACCAAGGTACTTAAAATTTTGGACTCTTTCCAATGGTGCATCATTTGCGATTAGCTGAATGTTTGCAAACTCTTTCAACTTTCTTGAATTTCCGATAATCATCAGTTTTGATTTGGGAACGTTTAGCAACAACTTGTTGTTCCGAAGCCAATTCATGACACCTTGTAGATCGAAGTCCAGTTTGGCTTGTAATTCTACTGCTGTTGAAGCCGGACAAAACATTGCTATGTCATCTGCAAAAATCACCATACGGCAGTTTTCCAAGCATGATTGCACACCATTAATGTAAATTATAAACAACAATGGGCCAAGTATAGAGCCTTGCGGCACTCCAACAGTGATCTTTAAGCTTTCAGATAGTGAATTTGCAATGATTGTTTGTTGAGATCTGTTTGAAAGGAAAGATTGAAACCAGCACAGTGTTTGACCTTGAACCCCAACACTCTTTAATTTTTTCATTAGAACTTGATGGTTTACTGTGTCAAAAGCCTTTTTTAGGTCTAGATAAACAACACCAGTTACTTGTTTATTATCCATATGCTTGAGTATGTCGTCAGTAAAATTAGTCAGGGCCATTTCAGTTGAACGATTTGCTCGAAATCCAAATTGCGTCGAGGTTAGAATGGAATTTTCCTTTAGATAACCACCCAGTTGATCATGTGCAATCCTTTCGATAACTTTACTAACGGCCGGGAGGACTGAGATAGGGCGATAGTTATCTTTAGATGTCCTTTCTCCATCTTTAAATAACGCAAACACCTTTGCGGATTTCCATCTCTTAGGAAAACATCCATTAAGGAAAGAATTGTTGATAATTCTTGTAAGTACGGGAGCAATTACACCAGCCGCATCCTTCATCATTCTTACACTAATCTTGTCTAATCCAGCACTTTTGTTAGATTTCAGCTTGAGCAACTCAGATTCAACATAGTCACTTGTGACACTTAGAAGCTGAAATTCAGATGGATAATTGTACTTAATGTTGTCAGGCCAGATAGTTGGTAAATTAGTGAAAACTTTCTGAATCTTTTTGCCAATAGAGGTGAAATATTTATTAAGAATCGTAGCAATGGTCATGCTTCCAGTACGTAATTTGCAGTCGTCATATATGGCGTTTATGTCGGAGTTTGTTGAATGTGGCAGGGTTTCTTTTATCGCTTTCCACATCTTTCCCCCATCACCTTTACTGTCTTCGATTAGCTTACAATAATATTCAGACTTAAGTTTTTTCTCTAACTGATTTGTAGAGTTTCTCAGCGACTTGTACTTTTTCCAATGGTGGGAGCTGTTTGTCGATTTGGCCTTTTTGAAATAGAACTGTTTGTCATATCTCATTTTTATCAAATCGGGAGAAACCCAGGGATTTTTAACGCCTTTTACACGCCTAAATCGTATCGGTGCGTGCAAATCAGCAACCTCGTTAAATTAAACAAATGTTCCCATATGAATACTTGTTCATCAATATCTTCAACACCCTCAATGACGGACTAAGGAACGGCATTTAGATCATTCACAAAAACTTCTTTATTGTAAGTTTTAAAACAACGGTATTCAAATTGCTTTGGTGGCACACGTTGAACTCCTCCTTTTATTACACAGAAAATTAGTGAATGGTCACTGATCAGTGGATGCATTACTCCAGCCTGAACTATTTTATGACCATTGTTAACATACAATAGGTCAATTATTGTTCTAGAATATTCAGTTATTCTTGTGTGATCTTTTATTAATTGGTCCAGATTGAATTCCAATGCAAATGACTTTAACTCTTTTGGAACGGCTTTAATGACATTAACATTGAAGTCACCTAAGATCACAATTTCACAGCCGTCAGAGTAGATTTTATTAAGCGATGATCTCAAACACTGTGCAAAGACAGAAATGTTTAAGTCCGGCGGGCGATAAACCGAACCAATGATCATACGCTTGCAATGAGGCCTTGCCACGTCAATCCAAATTTGTTCATCTGTTGTATTAGGCTGACTCGATATTATACTATAAGGAATACCAGATTTAACATACACAAGCACGCCACCACCTTGCGACTTCGCAGGATCACTCCTGTTCTTTCTAGCAAAGGTATAACCAGATATATTGAGTTCATCATCGCTTATGCTCGATGTTAGCCAAGTTTCACTCAAGGCCAAAAAGTCGAAAGAATGTTTTTTAATAAGTTTGTTGATTTCATCATGCTTACAAATTAAGCGGTTTACGTTTAGGTGAGCAATTTTTAAACCTCTTCTTAGACGAATATCTGGTTCTTGGTCCGTTTGAGGATTTCCGGGCTCAGGATGTTGAACTAGATAATGGACAAAAACACGAGATGCAAATCCAGGCGGTTTCCGGGTTTGTGAGATGTAAAAATTCCGGTTCGGCCATGTTTATGCATTTAACATGATACCAATTGTCGCAGTCATCACACTGAATTGCTCTCTGATTTTTCCTACATCCCTTATTACATGCTTGACAAACATCCATAGGACCTGGATTTAAGCTTACATCTCCAGCTAGTAACACCAACTGAGTAGCAAACAAGGTGGCTTTAGTTAAACCAATTATTAATACCACTTGAAGGTCGATGGAAGGCAATCTATTTCGCAACGTCTGGCGAGGAAGGCTTGAATTTCTGCTTGGAAATTGCTTTTAATCCCACTTAGCTCCACAAAATACATACGAAGCATTTATATATTTGCTTCTTAACTTGAAACTGCTCAATACGAAAGTTAAGAGCAGTATTTTGCAAAAAATTGCCGAGAACAACAAAACACGTCTATCCGCCATTTTGAATGACAACACTTCCTAAACACTTCCTTCCACTGTGTAAACAATGATGTTTACACAGTTAGAAACTCTAAAGAATTTGCCAGTTTTATTTTCAATCAAAAAATTGAACCTAATGAGCGTATCGTCTCATTCGACGTAACATCTTTATTTACATCTATCCTAGCCTGCGTAGCAGGCGTTTAGCTGACGGGCGGGAACTGAGGGAACGCCTGCCCAAATTGGCTATGACAATTTGTTTTCGCCCATTAAGGATGATTGACGTTTTGTAATTAGCACCTTCACTTATTATCCAATCATAGTCGAGATTTATATTTAGCATCAGTAGAATTCCCTCGTTGTCAATTCATGAAGTTCAACATCTTTTACGCAATCAAAAACGCTCTTCATCGGGTCCGGACAATCTGCCATATTGGTTTTGGAAATCGTTTGCTATTGAATTAGCTCCTATTGTCACAGAAATTTTTAACATGTCACTAAAAACCAGCAAAGTACCTCAGAAATGGAAATCCGCTAATTTATTACCACTCCCTAAAGAATCACCATTAAATTCGTGCAACCAGTTAAGACCAATCTCTCTGACGGACATCATCATGAGACTATTCGAGAAGTGCGTGTATAAATCTGAAATCGAACCTATCACAAGAAATAACATTGGTCCTGACCAATTTGCTTATAAAAAGGGTCACAACTCGACTATGGCTCTGATTAAATCCCAACATCAATGGCTAGAGTGGCTGGATAAAAACGCTAATTATGTTAGAGTGCTGTCGTTCGATTTCAGCAAAGCATTTGACAGTGTGCCCCACGATCTTTTGTTTGAAAAAGTTAAAAAGCTACCCATTAATCCGTATGTGGTGAACTGGTTAATCAGCTTTCTAGAAAATAGAATACAAAGAGTAATGGTTGATGGAATGGTTACAGAATATTTATATATTAATCGTGGTGTCCCTCAAGGTACTGTTTTAGGCCCAGTTCTTTTCTCAATAATGGTTGATGATATTAAAACTGCTGATCCTAGTAATGCGTTAGTCAAATTTGCTGACGATTTGACGTTAGGAGTGCCCGGCAACGAAAGTGGTGACACATCTCGATCTGAAGCTGCCTGTTTACAGGATTGGGCGGAAGAGAATAGAATGCCCTTAAACTTGGAAAAAACGTACGAAATGGTTGTTCGCAGACACACCTCTGTAGTTTTGCCCGAGCTTATCCCTTCAATTAAGCGAAAAACATGGCTAAAGCTTTTAGGAGTTACTCTACAAGATAACCCGTGCAACTGGGATTTGCACTTTGAAGAAATGCTCAAAAAAGCAAGTGGACGAATGTACATTATGAGAGTTTGCAAATACTATGGACTATCAATTAAACAATTAGATCTGCTGTTTGATAGCCTAATTATGTCGATATTCACTTTTGCTATTGAGCTGTGGGGTTGTGCATACGACGGTAAATATTTGAACCAAATAGATAAATTCATTAAACGTGCACATAAGAATGGTTATATATCAAAACGAACACACATTAAAGAAATACGTGATAAGAGAGATAAGAAACTGTGGAACAAAATAACATCAACTGAGGA